TATACAATAACATTAAAAAGAGAAAAAAGATTGATAACAAACTCGAGATGTTTTAATTATGGAGCGAGAATATATTCGATTTATAATAAGGAGTGCTAAATATATGTATAGAGAAATATATGTGTGTCATTGGTTTAATTATGATTGGACCAATCGTGTAGCGTTTATGTACAAATATTTTTATCTATATAAACGCATTTTGTTTCACATTGGTACAGACGATTTGTTTAATTATGAAATATTAACTTCAATAATAATTTGTAAATTTTTTCATTAAAAGCGCAAAGAGCGAACACGTGAAAGAACTTTATAGGTTTGCGTGTCTTTCTCTGTCATGTTGCGAAAATTATGTACATTACGTTGCTTGTAATAGCGAATACAAACTCACATTGGTACTCGCGATTTCTTCCTGCTCATATAACTATTGATATAGAAAGAATGATGTGCTACGCTCTCTTCCAAAGCGCGTAATGAATTGTAGTAAATATTTTTCCTCTACGATAATTTAATGTGATCATGAAGGGCTTTACAATGATCTTAATTGTTAAGATGTATATATCACTGTCAATCGATTTAATTGTACATTCTTTATCTCGATTTTACATAAGAATTAACCGATATGTTTGTCAATTTGGTTCGAAAAAAAAAACGAATTGTCTCTGTAACATACTCGACCAGGTAATATTAAATAACACTGACATAAACATAAGATATTTTATACATAAGTACTTGTTCAAAGGATTGTATCACTTGTTCATCATATGCTTGTTGTTCCAATATAAATTCGATGAAAATTTTATCTAAATTTCCTAGAGAATTTCATAAAATTTATACAAGTTCGTTGTGCGTATCGCAAGCATTATGATAAAGAGTTATATTAATGCTCTCTTCATTGCATAATTCTTGGAAAATCATTCTACTAAAACAATTTTTCTACGTTTTCTTTACTATTCGTATCTCATCGTTAAAGAAATAAAAATTTTAATTGAGAAATTAAGAAATTTATATTTTCTTGTCGACACAATTTACAATTTATTGATTTCTATTTCTCAATTCGGAATTATGCAATGAAGATCGCAGAAGAATGTGATATTATGACAGGATTAGAAAGTTATTGAGTTAAATGTGAATTTCTTTGTTAGAAATTAATAGATAAATATATAATAGTTTTCTTAATTAAGTTTCCATAATGATGTTCGGTTCTAAAAATGTTTAATTCTGTAATATTGTATGCAGAATTTGTTAATATGCTGCAAAGATAATTTAGAAAAAATGATGTGCGTCAATCTTTAAAATTAAAATTTGTTTTTAATTTTTTAATCAATTTATAAAAAATATTTTGTTTAAAATAATATATTTGCAAAATGCATTGCGAAATTAGTATTGACATTTAATAAAAAACATTTATTATATTTTATGTGCAATGCCGCGTATTGAAAGTTATTTTTTTATAAATTTATGCGTATGATTAAAATATATCTTACGATCGCACAAACTTATAATGTTCTTAAATACATTGATTTTGCGTTCATTTTTCTTTGAAAAAAAAATGGGCTTCCAATGTGCAGACACAAATTACTGTATTTCCAAGATAGATACATCAAAATAATGAAAATACATGGAGCGATACATTATATGTTATTTTAATTGTGCAATTGAAAATATGAGAATCATGAATACAAAAGAAATCATAGTTCATCTTAATTATAATTTTTTTTTATAAATTTTATCTAATGCAACAAACAGAAAGCTCAATTATTTCTAGAGATGCTTGCCGCCTAGATCTTTACATTTCTAAATCAATTTAGCAAGCAACGATATGTAAACTTATTTTGCCAATGAATCTTTTAAATGTAACTAATTATTAACGAGTTCTAATTTTCTTTTTATCATGATATATTAAAATGTTTTATTAATATGATCTGAATCGTTTGTTTCTAAGTTATGTATGTACACAATTGCTATTCGCATAATAGCATAAATGTGTTTCACATCTTATTTTGTCACACAGAAAGAAGCGCGTGCATACATGTAATAACAAGCGATATATTTTTGTATATTTGAAGCTTACAGAGCCGTTAAGCGTGTTAAGTTCCAATTTTACCGTTAATTAATTTTTATTAAAAATATATGTACACAATTCTTTTGCAGAAAATGTTATACATGATAGTGAAATATAGCATCTGTATCTTAAATAAGAGTGTCAATCGATCGTATGTATCGTAATAATATATAAGTGTAAATCACAAAGCAGTTGTTTGTTTTTTTTATTTGCGTTTTTACGAATCTCGCACAACTTAATCAAGTTTCAAATGGCACTGAAAATTTAAATTCGCAGTTTATTTCGATTCGTTTCTTATGTAGACAAAACTTGCAATATAGAAAATAAATGTCTTCTTCACATACGTTCTTATTCTGTTCTTCATATATTAATATTTATAAATGTTAAAATAAAAAAAAATAAATATCAAACTTAAAAAAAATTTTCATATTCTGTCCAATAAATAGTGTATACATAAAATATTAATCAAATATGAAAAAATAAAAATACATAATACTAATACTATCGTCATATTTAAAAAATATGAGACATCCGCATAAAATATTAATTAATTATGGAATTAAAATAAAGATTAATTTTAGTAATATTTTAAATATTATCCACATGTGATCTATTAATTGTCGATGTTCTTTTTAGTTAAACTTGCAACAATCATGTATGATTATTGATCAGTATTGATCAGCTGGATCGGCATGATGCCGTTAGAAACGTGGTCATCGAGATAATCGACAACGCCTTATTTTAGTAAGTAATGTTGCGTTTCATTTAAATTAACACATTTAAATTTTAAACGTGTGTGTATATATATATATATATATATATCTAATTTCATATATCAATAATAAATAATATGAAAGATTTTCCATTTGATATAATGAAAATATAATGTTATAGGTTATTTTTATTTTGTAGTACGCACATATATTTTCTTTTATGTGTCTATAAATTAGTTAGAACTGTGTGTATTTTTCAACTCGCGTATAGGCAGGCTTTATCTTATACATTAAAAACATTAAAAACCATGGACGACATCGCCGAGACAATCGTAGCGCAGGCTACAGATCCGAAAGTGGCGTTTATGGCCGCTGCTCTCTTCGGTTATTGTCTGTATAAACTCATGACTATGATGAATAGAAAAAGTCCTCAGCAAAGTTCCTTTGCGGAAGACTCCGACGAAACAGATGATGACGACGTGGTAAAGAAAATGATATCATTTGTGTGAATTTTTCTCTAAAACTTTTGTAATTCTCTAATAATCTGTTAAACAATCAGTTGCAATTATTCTCTTTTTTACACAGGTATATATGGATAAATATGATAATTACAAGTTGATCCTGGTAATTAGAACGGATTTGAAAATGGGAAAAGGAAAAGTAGCAGCTCAATGTTCACATGCCGCTGTTGCAGCATACAAAGCTGCTAGGAAACATCCAAAAATTCTAAGAGCATGGGAAAAATCTGGCCAAGCTAAAATCACTCTTAAGGTATTGCGAATAATATTAAATACTGATAATAAGTTAATAAAGAAAATATATATTTTTAATGAATTGAAAATGTATAATAAATGTATTCGTATTGATCTAACATATTAAATATTCTTTATGATACGAATCAGATCGTAAGGTTTTAATCGAAAGAAACTATCACTTGATGTTTAATAAATATATTTAACTATACACAGTTAAAATAAATATCTTTTCACACACATACACACGCACGCATGTATAAAAGGAAAAATGATATGTTAATTTCCAGGTGGACAGCGAGGCTACTCTTATAGAGATAGCAAAGCAAGCTAAAGCTGCAGGTCTCTTATCGAACATTGTACAGGATGCGGGACATACGCAAATACCAGCAGGAAGTAAAACGGTATGTGCAGTCGGACCGGGTCCAGCAAAATTGATAGATCAAGTAACCGGTCATTTAAAATTATTTTAACTGCTTATGAAATAAAGACCGAGCCCTTTGATATATCTTTGACTTTATATTTTTTATTTTTAATATCCCCAAATATCTTTTATTTAAATTCAATTCTTTATTTAAATCAGTCTGTTGGCAAAATTTTTTCTAGTTACGCAGAGGAATCTTAACATAATGTTAATGCCTTGAATTTTTAAAGAGTATTTACATGCATATTAAGAAGGCTAATACTACATTTTTATTGTCTTTATATCTCTTCACAAAGTAGAATTTTGAAATTAACATTCAACTCGTAAAATATATGAACAAATTTCCTTCATGTTATTTTTTAAAAACGTATTTAACAATTTTCTCTTAGAATTAATATAATACTACATTTGTGTGGGTATATATGTGTGTGTGCGTGTGTGTGTGTGTGTGTGTGTGTGTGTGTGTGTGTTTTGCGAGATACAAACGTAGTATAGAATGTGAATCCAAATTTACTTTCTAGCATGATTTATCAGAAATATGATAGTTAAATTGAAGTTAAAGGATGTTGGTGCTCGGATGTTGGTGCAGCTAATATTATTTATTCTAGACAGATATCAATGATAAATGGGAGGAAATATAGAGAAAAATTGATTCTTTTAGCTTAAACATCCGAACTCCACAGTCATTTTTTGCTATGTTAATTAAGAACGTTAATAATTAAACGTTTGGACGGATTACAATTAAAATCGTACTTGAGCATATTAGCGCTTATTAGCGCTTATTAGCGAGATTATTTCATCCTTGTACGTATATAGAACTCGTTACATTCACGAATTCCAATATATGAAAAAAGGACATGTATGCAAATATGTGCATTTTAGTGAATATTAAGGCATTTATGGTTCCTAGTGTATTCTTTCAGTTCTTAGTATATTGTTTCATCTTGAATACCAAGAAATATTGGCAAGTGAATACGCGCTCGCACTACGTTTTTCGCCAATCGTTTTCTATCAGTCTTGCTATGATTGCAAGGCACTGACCACCTGTTTCCCAATGTGTCTCCCATTCTTTGGTACCCAGTACTATACTTCGCGAAATTATGCTTTAACTTATAAATATAAATAATCTATATCGGCGGCGCGGGTGCTTTCCGAGGTATTTTATTCGAACTGGCGGCGCTGCATTGCGACTCCGCGATAGATCTACCGTCGGCCTCATCCCTTCGGCAGAGCTCCGACTCGTTCTGTATCCAATTCTGTGTCTGACTGTGGCCCACCGTTTTCGATTGCGACTCCTCATTTTCGGATACAGCGCTCACTTCTTCCAGCAATTTCGATAATGATGGCGCTAGACCCAATCCCAAATTGCGCTCGTGATATACCTCCGATATCGTGGGCGTAAGCTCCCGCGTTAGACTCGTCAAGGAAGTGGCCAGGTTCCTCAAATTCTGCGGATGTGTTTCCGTGGATTGTGTCGCGTCGGTCTGTACGCTGCAGATGTCCTCGTTTGTCGCTGCGGCATGCCGTGGCTTCCTCGACGAGTTCGTGTCAATCTCGGTTCTCACGCTCAATCTTTCCAATACATTAGCCGGCAAAGGTGGTAACGGTTGCCGCCTCAATACAGTGGCGTGACCATTGTCCCAATCTGTTACTGAACTGCTCGAGCTTGAGCCGGGTCTTACCGGATTTTGTTCGGGATAAAGATTCCGGATACGAGTCTGATGGTTCAAGTTAAGCGCCACAGGAGGACTAGGTGTAAATGCCACGTCTGATTCACCTGGAGTGTTCGAATATAATTTAAATTTCTGTGATATATCTTATAAAATTTTATAGGAATCAAATGTATCTTATAAAAATGTTACTTTTAATATTTGAAACAAATAGAAAGTTAATTCGAGTATTTTGTTTTATAATTTTAAGATATTTATATATATATATATATATATATACACATATATATATATATACCTCCACCGTTTTGACATGGCTGTCGTGAAGCTGGTATCAAAACGTTCGGTGGTTCCATAGTCTTTCCATCTGGTTCACCACGATGTCGCACGTAACTTGCAAATGCTCCTCCCAATCGTGGCCGTTCTACAAGATTTTTCTCAGTATGGGCCACAGAAGCTAAACTCTCCATGGAACTACCTGAATCTAAGCTAAGACTTTTTGGTGCTTCTTGTGTATCTGCAATTGACAATACACATATAAATAATACACACATACAATTAATTTACATTTATTATGATTATCGTATATTAATATAAATTTTAATTTACCAAATAACGCGAGAAGAGCTTGAAGAGCAAACTGGACAGCTCTACGTGAGGCTTGTTTGCCTGTTCTCAATATCACTTCTGATTGTCCGACTTCCATCAAGTCGAAACCTAAGCTAGCGAACAGTTCGTGTGATCCTGATGCTCTCCAAACATGTACAGGCAATATAACTTCTTGTCCTTCTGTAGCACAACTGGCTCTTCTCATGGCAGCAATGACATCCTCTGCGGCTTCTGGTGCCTAAAATATTTTTTACACAATCGATCAAAATGAGAACCTTATATATATTTGGTTAAACATTAATTAAAGTAAGTCGTACTTGTAAGAGTCTCGCCAAAGCATGCAATGACGATTGACCTAATCCTAGTAGAGCTTGCAAGCTAGCGCTACATCTCGTCAGTCTTTCTTCGGGATCGCTTTGTGGAAAGAATACGGAGGACGGTATACCATTGCCGGCCGGTTCGAATCTGAATCCCACGGACATTAGAAGCTCTCGCCAACCAGTAGCCGCGCCTACCTTGTTCTCGATACTGCGCTGAGTCGTATACATGGCGTTCTTCTGACCGCGATGAATTCTTTGTAATGACTTTTCTACCAGATGAAGCGTTACTCGCAGCGCGTCTCTACTCTGCTCGGGACCACCACGCAATAATTCCGCCAGTGCTTGACCCATTAGCGCGACCTGTCGAAACAAGAGAAGAGAATGATGAAATATTATAATTAAAACTGCAAAATTTAAATAAGATTAGATTTATTTAGGACGTATCTAAGCTTTAATCAAGCGATTGATTTGTTTTGCATTTTGCTCAACTAGTACATATAATTCCTATCAAATGTACCTTGTTGGATAATCTTGTGTCTCCACCGATAAGCAGCCAACCGGCCCAGTTAGCGGGATGAGCAAAGTGTCTGGTATGCCGCCTTGCAACATTGCGCTGTAAAACGCTCGTAATAAGATGCTACCGGCGGTTGGTGGTACTGCCCACATCCCTATGAGCACACATTGCGCGCCCGCGCTTAATAGAGTCTTGGCGATATTCTGTATACCGTCCGATGTGGCATTCGTGCAATCTACGTTGCTCCAACTTTGACCGCTGGATACGACCACCAGACGGGCGGACATCTTTAATCTGAGTAAATCTGTCTGATTTATCAGGTATTCCGGCCTTTCAGATGGCTCCTCGCATTGATCAGGCGAGAACGCAAGACTGCCGGTATTCCAGAAGACCGGCACTGTCAGGTGAACACACTCCGCATCTGGTAGAGATCGCAGAACCGCTGATCTGGTAGCTTCCAATCCTATTGTTGAACAAAGAGAGAAAATTTTAAGTAACAAACTTTCACAAATAATATTTTCGAAGTTGTGATACAATTAGGAAAAGTTTTTAGAACTATAGCTGAACTAACCAGTCATTGCGCGAGCCTCCAATAATTCAGCGACTATTTCTGACTCGGTCTCGGTGGAAGTGATGTTTTCAGTCCATCCGTATTCCTCTCGAACGTCCTCTGGTAGAATAGGGTTTCCAGCGACCAGCGCAGCCACGGTAGCACCGCCTTCTAGTACAGGCGTCTTCGATCTCTTTCTGAGCGCCGCAAGGGATGGTACCACCAATAATGAGAATCTTTCACACAGATAATCCTCGCCTGGATTGGATTGCAAAGCCGGGAACGGTGCCAAGTAAAGAGATTTCTCTACCACCATAATCAGTTCCTTTCGTGGTGGTGGTAGTAGATCTTCAAACGGAGCAAGAAGAAGATCGTAGAGCACCTGTATTGGCAATGGTGCTTGCCACGTAGGTCCTTTCGCACCTCGTCCCCAACGAGCGCTTCCAGCGCGAGAACTCACAGAGCCGACGCTGAAGAGACTACTCAAACTGTAGGAACTAGCATTCAAGTGATGACCCCTTGACGGGATTTTGGTGGATTCCTCGATAAGCTCGTTGCTTTCATCCAGGAGCGCTTCGCGTGCTTGAAGAACTCTCTTTTCTAAACCTACCCCATCGTCCAATGTTGCGGAATGGAATCGTAATAGTCCACGTCCTGGCGCTAAGCACCACGCATGCAATTCACATCCTACCTCGCTGAAATTATTTTGTTCAATTATTTTAATTTTTTAAATATATAAATTATTATAGTATTAAATAAATTATATCTTATTTCAAATTATAATACTTGCAAAAAGATTATACCTATAATACAGAATAACTCCACGTTGTCGATCAATGATCTCAGAGTAATGAGCTGCATCATCCAAAGAATTACTTTTAGATCGTCTGGATCTTTCCGCCCAATTCAGAGCCTCCTCTGCTCGGTTTAGATTGATTAGTACTTTTTGCAACATTCTGTATGTTTCTGATAATAACTCGGTTCGATTAGGTTGACCGCAAGAAAGAGACACAGAAGTTCCGTCTAACGATTCTAAGAGATTTGCGGCCTTCTCCAAGTGTTCCACAGAGATGATCGCTTCTCCGGTCTCCCAGTGGACAAGACCAAGTCTATGTCTCAGTCTGGCAGCTTCTTCTCTTCTGCCTAAGCCTTCGGACAAAGACAGACCAGACTGCAGATAACTTAGAGCACGTGGCAGGTCTCCACATAAATGATGAAGTCGACCCAAACTTGCGAAAGCTGCTGCTCGGGCGGGTTGATCGCCTGCTGCGGCCGCAAGGCTCAATGATTGTTCCTGCAACCTTATAGCTTCCTCATATTGTCCCAATGTCTCCTGAGTCACTCCTAAATTGGCACAAGCGCGAGCTTGTAAGCCAGCCGCGTCTAAACCTTCAGCGATCGACAACTCCAACTGATGATGGCGTAACGCGGAATTCGGATCATCCATTAAAAGATGTACTGCTCCCAAACCGCTGGCAGCTTCGGCCTCGGCCGCTTTGTCGCCGAGCCCACGAGCGAGAGCCAATTGATGCGACAGACAACTAACAGCTTGCTCATGATTTCCTAACGCGGCGTGTACTCTGCCTATAAATAAAACAGCAATTACATGTAGTATTAATATTAGGCGATCGAAAAAATACGTATGGTTTTTATAAAAATATATCTACTAAAAATTTATTATAATCTCTTTTCTCTTTAAGAATTTAATAAAATTAATCTAAATTTTATTACATCAGTTTACCTAGATCACCATAAGCGGCACCTCTCGCCTCAGGACTGTCCACTTCATGAGCGGCCACTAATCTCTTCTCGAAACACACCAAGGCTTCCTGTAAGTTCCCGGTAGCCTCGCGAGCTCTTCCCAATCCTCTGTATGCCCTCTCCTGATCTCTGATACTTTTCAACTTCGTAGCGGCTGTCAGTTGTTGTTCATGACATTTGATAGCTTCTTCCAGATCACCCAAGGCTTCATAACAGTCCCCCAAATTTCCGAGAGCTCGAGCTTTGTCAAGTAAAGCGGTGCCGGTAGTTAACGGTTCTAAAGTTGCTAACTGTTGTTCGAAATAACCGATAGCATCCTCATAATGCGTCATATTAAGCCTAGCTATGCCCAAATTTCCTAAAAAGTGACAGTGTAAGAGGAAAAAAAATTATTAACTTATATAATTTAATACTTTAATATTAAAAAAAAAAATTATTTTTATATTTTTATACAAAGAATTATTTTCTTACTTTAAATCCGAAGCGCCACTACGGTCTAAGTATTAAGATATTGAACTAATTTATATATTTTCAAACAAATGAATTAATTTCAGAAATGATAATTACGTGCCGATATGGTTGTCGGCATTAACGCAATTAATCTGAAATATTAATAATCGCCCCAAATTCCCCAAATTAATTTTAAAAAACTGTAAATTATTTTCTTCTTGATTCTAGCATGTCACATTCTGTATATATATTATATATTGTTGAATTTATCTTTCTCACTTAAATAAGAAATTTTAAATACACGTCTTAAATGTTTAATTTTAAATTATACAAATTTAAATATCATAAATTTATATTACCTAATGCTTGAGCTTCAACTCCAGAATCCGCTAATTCCTTCGCTCTCTCTAATTGTTCTTGATAACACTTGACCGCGTGAGTGTACTGTCCCAGTGCCATATGCACAGCACCCAGATTTCCATGTGCCCTGCACTCACCGCGCAAGTCACCGGCTTCTTGTCTCAGAGTTAATTCCTGCGTGTGAAAACCGAGAGCCTTGTCCAAATTCTTCGTAGCTCTATGAGCGATCCCTAATGCACCGTAGGCAGCCGCTTCCAGGCAACGATCGGCAGCTTGACGCGCCAAATTCAACTGGCGTTGATGCATCTTGATAGCTTCGTCAACCTCTCCCATGCGTAACAAACAATCGCCAATATTTCCTAGAGCGCGAAATTTACCAGCCAGATGCTTGGTCATGTGCGCGATCGCTAAATTAAATTAACGATACAATGTATTTTTTATCATTATATATTTTATTTTTATATTTATTTTGCTACTTTTAATGTATTAATATATAATTATAAAATGTTCACAATATATATTTATGTATTTTAAAGCAAGAGAAAGTGTTACCCAAATAATATTTTTGGCATTCCAAAGCGGTGTCCAGATTTTCCAGCGCCAAATGAGCTAATCCCAAATTGCAGTAAGCTCTACCCATTCCAGATTTATCCTGCAAGTCCTTTGCTAGCGCTAAATCTTGATCATAATATCTAACTGCCTCCCTATGATTTCCCAGGCAGTAGTGAGCATATCCTAAGAAATGGCATGCTTTAGCCTCTCCCTCAACGTCGTGCAATTCTTGCGACAGCATTAGATAATGCTCGTAATATGGCACCGCCTCTTCAAATCTGCCACGTGAAGAAAGACAATTGGCGAGATTTAGCAGGGCACACGCCTCACCAGCCGTGTCTTTCAGTTCGCGCGCTATAGCTAAATGAGCTCTGTAGTGCCTCAACGCCGCTTCGTGACCTTGCACTGCCTGATATGCGACTGCCAAATTTCCATGTGTACTAGCTTCTGAACTGCGATCGTTTACCTGAACAACAGATTTTTCGTTAACAAAGAATGTCATAATAATGATATATTTATCTTGAGAAGTCTACCTCTTTGCTTATCGTTAATTCCTGTTTATGATATTTAATGGCTTGTTCATAATAACCCAAAGCGTTATAAGCATTGCCGATGTTTCCATACGCTCTACCCATACCGGCCTTATCTCCTAACGATCTCGCGATTCCTAAGTGTGCTTGATGTAATTTTAAGGCGGCATCGTGTTCGCCGAGTAGTTGATAGACTATTCCTAGATTGCTGCAGGCTCGTCCCTCGGCTACTTTGTCTTTCGTGACCAATGCGACATCGAGCTGTCTTTGATGCCAGAGCTTGGCTTGTGCCAAGTCACCTAGATATTTTAATAAAATTATGTTAATATAAAGGAAAGTTAGAAATAGAAATATGTTAATATAATGTACTTTTCAATAATAATAATCATTATTACCTGCACATCTGGCGGCATGACCTAATCCTGCATATGCTCTGGTCTCTATCGCTCTGTCTCCGAGTTCCTGAGCTATTCTCAAAACGTTTTCGTGATAGGCCATCGCCTGCCCGAAATTTCTACGATAATGATGAGACGATCCCAAGTTACTGAAAGCCCTCGCCTCTTCTACGCGATCACCTAACCGTCTAGCTATCCTCAAATGTTGCGTATGGCAGTCAACAGCACTTTCAAATTCTCCCATTGCCAAATAGACCGCTCCGACGTTACCGATCTCGCGAGCCTCTTGCAGTCGATCACCCATCTGTTTTACCAATTGCACGCACTGTTTATGGGAAGCCAGGGCGTTCGGCAAATCGCCGATCGCCGTGTAGACATGTCCCAGGCTGGTCAAGGCCGAAGCCGCTGCCTGCGTATCTTTGCATTTCATAGCTAGAACAAGTTGGTACCTATGAGCCGTTAGAGCCTCCTTGAAGCTACCTTTGCTGAAATAAGCAGAGCCTAAATTCCCATGGGCTCTGCACTCGCCCTGCGTGTCCCCCAGAGAACGCGCCACTCCTAAAAGTTTTAATCAATCAGTATATAAACTCGCTTTACGCTAAATTCACAAATTACAAATTGAAAAGAAATTAACGCAAAACTTTCCGCTCTAAAAAAAATTTATCTGTTACTTACCTAAATCCTGTTGCATGTAGTTGATTGCTTTGTCCAGAGAGTTTAATGCCCAGTACGCGCTGGACAGAGCAGAGAATACAGAGCCCCTCAATTTCAAGCTGCATGAACCGATGGTGAGCGCAGCCTCCAGCACGCCAGCGGCCGCTCTGTATTGTCCAGCTCCAAGTAGCTCTTGACCAACCACGGATATTACGACGAATGGAGACTCGTCGAGTTTCATAGCGCGTAATTGTTGGAACGTCGGCTCCAAAGTCGGTCGTAATGGAGACTTCAGAGATGCTTCTACCAAGCCCGATAACAATTGATGATTGGACGCGTCGTGAGCTAATCCCGTGCTGAAAGCAACGAGTGCCTCTCCGTGACGTCCTAAGCATTGCAGCGCTACTCCTTGTCGGTAGTATGCCTGAAAATCGATTATTATACAATAGATCCGAAATTGAAGATGTAGGGAAGAATATGGATAAGAATGCATACCTTTGGCCATTGCGGACTCAGCTCGGTAGCTCTGACAGCATCCTGCAATGCAAGCGCAAATAATCCCATTTTTAGCCTGGCGGCTGATCTGTTTGAGTATAACACATGACTGAGGGGGTCCAAGGCAAGAGCTTCCGTGTATAATGTCGCGGCCAATGCGTAATCTCCATTCTGGCATGCCGTATTACTCCTGCGTACCGTTTCTAAGAATAGTGCCCTGGATCCAGCGGCCAAGGCCGACGTACCTTCGGGCTCCACCTTCATCAAATTGGCACGATTTTATTTTTTGAGCAAATAATTTCCTGCTTTTATCAATAATAACTAAGTTTATATAAATTAAAATAAGGAATCGTATATTTCTAAAGATTCATATATAGAAACTATAAGCGATCATTAAATATATTTATTATTTTCACTCTTAACTGCGTGATAAAATCAATGATAATTAAAAAAATAACATCAATTAGTATTACTAATAGTATTATTAATAATAAGATTATATTTTTAAAAATAAAATATAATTTTGTAGGAGGTTCTAAATAAAGTTAAAATAAGGAAGATACTATCAGATATTTTTTATCTTAGCAATTATAAATGATTAACATATATAAACTATTTTTTCTAGAATGAGAAACAGAGAATAAGATTATTAATATGAATTAATATCAAAATAAAATACTTGAATTAATGTACTTAGATAATTAAAGGAGACCGATCAAAACAAGCAACAAGAGCAATGTATAAGCGAGAGTCAGATCTTAATCTAGGATAGGACCCAAAGTAACAACAGGAATCTCATAATTACCTCAGAGATATCCCTATGAGACATTGCTTAAGACGAGCTAGTAGCATTCTCTGGCATGGGCATCATCTGCAGCGTGCTGGCATGAAGATCAGGCCCCGGATTGAACGTGCGACTCCTCTACCTCTCTTCGTCCCTTTCGCTCTCCCACGACGGGACTTACCTTGGCACGTTCCCTCGACGTTCGCTCGCAAATTAAACTCTTTGCGTATACGCGCGTTACATTGTTTCACCGCGCGCGAGCGGTAATAAGAGGATTTCTTTTCGCTAGAACGGGCAAATGCGACCGATTAATAAAAAAGGAGGGAGACAGGCGTCTTAGGGGGGCACCCACTGCATTCCTCAGGCACAGCCATCTTGGAATGTGACCCCGGGTCCCCCCGTCGGGCCCAGAGCGGGGCCGGCACTGCTGCCTGCCGCCTGCCCGGTGCTGTTTGCTTCTTCTATGCGCTCTTCTCCTCCTCCTTCTCCTCCAGCCCATCAAGCCCGCGATGAGGCCCCAGTCGTGTGTTGCCCCGCTCGTTTTGTAACACTATCATCAGCATACGAGCGTATAAAACGTGCACGCATACATACATATAAATATACGTGTGGAAACGTTTGCAACGCGCGCGAAAATACGGGGCCCGCGACGAGGATCCCAATGCACCGCTTTGCAACAGCCGCTCTCGCGCCTCGAGTACCAAAAGGGGATCGTTTTTATCTCGCTTTGCAAATCCCATATAGATTTGTTAATTAATTATCTCTTCGAACTCTTTTGAGACTTGTTAATCAGAGATACCGTTATGACGCTCGGGATATACATGTCTGTATATATATGCAAAAAAATGTAAATGATGGAAGATCTTTATTTATGCGGTGAGAGGGAAAGTTGTATTGATATTGATTAAAAATTATGACTTTTGATGCATACATTATGAATAATGAGTAATTACAAATAAAAACTCAATTTTTTTTTAATAATTCGTAAAGACCTTAATGTTATCTTTGATCCTCCTATGCCGAACACAATCAATATTTTTGCATTTTATAATTGTTTTTTAAACGTCGAATAAAGATGGAAAGCCAAATGAGCATTTTAAAGAATCGTCCAAACGACGACAATTTCCAGATCATTTTTACAGCTCTAGAACCAGTTAAAAAAAACTGCGTTATTGAAAACGAGATATAGATATTGCAACGCATGAAAAATCTATGAAACTAGACTGCCAAACAAAAATACGAAGATATTTTTATATTTCGCTAGCAGAAGAGATTGCACATTAAAGAAGACTGAATACAAATTAGCTTAAATATTTTTTTTATTAACATACATCTTTCTATATTTACTCTGCAACATCAATGTAAATTTTTGTGTACACGAGAAATTACTTAAAATTAAAATCGTTGAAAAATTTTCCTTGTTTTATCAATTGCCGTGTCTCTTTGTACAAAATTGTACATAAATATATTCTGTATAAATACATGTCATCTACGTATTGGCATATGCATGTTATGGCTTACACATCTATTATACATGGACTATTTCCTCACACTTTAACAGGTTATAAAAACAATACTTTTATTCGTATCTTGGACTGAGATTGCAGGAATGTAACGTCGTTGCAGAATGTTGTTCTATAACTCTCTAAACGAAGTTATTTATGACATGAATTTCAATAAAATACAATAGGTCCGTTCTTTTAAACTAAAATTCTTGCAGTTCATCTTTCTTTCTTTTCTTTCCACATTCGAGAGAAAAAGAGAAAAGATGACCGTACAAAAAGTTCAGTTAAATAAAACAGGCTTATAATTTCCGTAGTTAATAGAAGATTTTTGTGCATTGCACATCATATAAATGCAACTAGAACCGGAGGTAGTAATATCACATAATCATATTACGTAAAATAGCTCATATCTTCATAAATAAAATCAATTTGTGAAAGAGATGCATTCGCGACACATTTGCTTTATCGTGATTTTCGATATGTGGCGGTTGTGAACATTGCCATCAGATAACATTCTCGCATATATATATATATATATATCTTAAATAAAAATATAAATAAAAATTCTAATTTAAAAAATATGTTGTACACAAATACGCTTTTAAAAATACGTCAACATAAAAGCAATATTTGTAAAATCTGAGAGAATGTAGCGTGTATATATATATACATATATATATATATATACAAAATATGACAGACTTAAGGCCATACTTTGTTGAAAAGTTCCATGAAGGAATCATAAATCATGAATGTTATGGCAACATCTAAACATACTCTGCCCAATCGTGGAATGGTTCCTTTGTAAAATGCCATTGGACCCTCTTTCTTCCATACCTGAACCACGCAATCCATACTGCTCTTATATTTTGCAGCTTCCAATCCCTAAAAGCAGAAAAGAGATTCAGAACAATGAAGTTTTATGACACATTATGATGAACATAGATTAATTAGAATAACATTTTAATATAAATTACAAATATGTAAGATACATACCTGCATCCTAGTTTTTATAACATCAATAGGCGTGTTTCCAAAAACTGATGCTGCGCCAGCAACTGCACCAAATGCACCGACGACTACTTTAGGAACACTTTTAGTATTGTCACCTCCTTTGTACCAGTCTTTTAATGTTTCCATTACGAAGAAACGGATGGCTTGATTGGATCCTTGCTTTAAAATTGTTGGCACTACTCCTTGATATATTCCTTTGAATCCTACATTAAAGAAAAATATATGTATATATAT